TTTTTCAATTTTGAGACAGCAGCGAGGGAGGCAGTATAATACGCAACACACACAAATTTAAAATTTTTACATAGCAGCGCGGGATAACAAAAGCAGTAATATCTGGTACAGTCATCCAAGGACTAAGGCCGAATTAATTTAAGTTTATATAAATATCTACATACATCTTATATACATACACTTTCCTTATATACGCACATTAGTATGCACACAGTGAATTTTCTACTAAAAATTTAAATGAAAATTTTAATTTTTCATACCACCTAGTTTCTAAATATAAAATTTAAACTTTTTTATAAGTATCCACCTAGGTACATAAGTGCTAAGCTCAGCCCTAGACTTTGTTGCATTTTTCTAATGCGTTTTTCTTCCAAATACACTAAAATTTAAAATATTTCAAAATTTCTAGCTATATAAGAGATTCAACACATTTTCATATCATATATTTATAAGCAACTTAACCTATTTTCATACGCATATAAGCGGTTTATCTTTTTTCAAATTAGATATAAGTGATTAAATAATTTTTTTATCGGAAACCATTTTCAAATTAGTATATAAGTTGACGTAAGTGATTCAATGAATTTTTCGTTTAATTTTGAGTACCATATACATAAGTGATTTATATTTTTCATATACAATTTTTCGTATTACACTGCTTCAATTCCCTTGCTGTTTAAATAATTTTTAAATCCCCGTTTGGATTACATACATTCATATATTCAAACGGTTTACTTTAAAAAAAAATATATCATACTATTTTTCACATAATTATTAATATTTATTAGAATCTCTCTTTTCCCCACTTCGCTTACTAGCAACAAAAAAAAAAATATTTTTCCATTGAAATTCATATTACTATATCTAAGTGACTTTTTGAACTTTTAAAACTTAATTACAACTTTTGCATTATTAGTTATAAGTGCGCGGATATCATCACAAATTTGAATTTAAAAAACACAGAGAATCTACAAATTTAAAAATGTAGTACCATACACCTGTGTACAGAATAAGGAAAAAACTGCTTTGCCTAAAATCAAACATTAAAATAAAATAAAAACCAAATTTTAATCAAACTAAACTCTTTTGCATTGCATGTGAACTGCACGAAAATACCCAATAGCCCGACTGCATGAAAAAGCCCTTTTTATTGCATGACAAATTTCAGCCGATGACCTACTGAGAATAACATAAGTATTTTTTCACAATTCGATTTTTTTAATATTTTGACTTTAATATGGTGAACGATGGCTTGTTTTGTAAATATGGGCCTCCACTTCTTTGAGACTCGCCGGTTATGAGCGAATTCGATATACAATTTATAGCATGTAAAGCAGATTTTAATAAGATTACTAAGCGCATTTTACAAAATAGACCGTTGTCTACGAATGCGAAAAAATTAAACGAATACAAATATTTGCTTATTACAGCTTACAATAATATTTTACTACTAGTTATTGGCAATAGTTCGTCCCATACCAGTAATCTCAAGGAAGTGCAGGGTAAATTAGCCCGCTGCAAGGAACAGTTAGCAAAGTGCTTTATTAAACTGAATTGTCGTGTTAGAATTCCACCTGACAAAATGACACTAAAAAATTTTTATGAACAGAAACTTAGGCTGACTGACACTGACCCGGTATATGTAAGAAACTATCGTCTGCCATATATGAAGAGATAACTCGCCAAGTTAACAAATTACTAGATAACAGTTTAATTGAAGGAAGTTATTCAAATTACAATAGTCCCCTAATTTTGG